GACAAAGCGGTCGCTTTGGAAATTATTGAATTTTCGATGCAGATGCAAAATCTCGTCATTTTTTTCTCATTTGATTCGTTTATTGGCCCGTTCGTCATTCTATAAATGATTTCAAACAGCATCCAAAACGAATGCTAATAATTGAATGCCGGGACCATAATAAACATGACGAAATTGTTTGTTTTTTCACTTTCAAACCATGCATTCTTTTTTTTCGTTGGTCATGAGTAATTTTGTTCGATGTTTTTCTGCTCCATCATACCATTCGACTGTTTCATGCTTCGATTTTATTTTATGATGTTATTTAAACAGAATTCGTATATTGCAGTCTGCCCGATGGTATTTTATAGCTATCATTTTTCCATTCTACAGAATACCCGATGTTATTGCAACTGAAAACGCAGACACAGGCACAAACACAAAGACACATATTCATATTAATAAATTTATTGCAAGTAATGAAAATTGTTATTATTAATGACTTTTCCTCATGACATTTTTTGGCGTTAAAACTGCATAAATTGATATGTTAAAGAGCATTGGCAACTGGTCAAACCTACACGTATCGGATGAATTATTCATATTACATTTTCAACAGTTAGTTTGGTTTTACTGTCACAACTCACACAATAAATAAAATAAATGATTTTCGGATGAAAATATATTGGAAATATTTTTCTGTGTGGAAGCGCGTGTGTGTGTGCGGGGTGGGTAGTGTGAAATAAAAATGAATTCATTAAATATTCCGTATATATTCAATTTACTCGAAATATCGTTGTAAATTTCAATGTGAGTCACTCAATTAAGTGATTGCTTTATCATAAATGATGGAAAAATTAATGTAAAGTCATTATTGAAAATGAAAATATTCTAGATTGTCCGAGCCGATATGAATGTGCGGATTTTTTGTTTGCCATTCATTCTTGAAACCATTATTTTCATTGGCATTAATTAAATGGTGGCCAATTTTCCATGGCATTTAGTAGTTGATTGATATCTTTTTTAATCGACTTAAACATTTCATTTTCAACGGGTAAACAGGCGTCGTTTTGTAAAATGGAAACGAAGGTACCCGCATTCACTTAAATCCGTCAGTGCTGTGTGTGTGTTGACTATTTCAATCAACAGATATGTAGATTGAAAATGGCGATTAGACACATTTTCTGTGCTGGTTGCTGTCATTTTCGTAAGAAAGGGCGCAAATAGAAACGTAAATAACCGCAAAAATTTCTATAATTACGTGGAATTTTCTCAATCTAATCACCACTTTAGAAGTGCATTCTTTTGCGCTTTATCGTATTCTGCTTCTCTCTCTCTCTTTCCTCTTTTTTTCTCCTTTATGTCTCTCTGTGTAGAAAATTGCACAAAATTGAGCTTGAAAATTGGCGATTAGTTGTGAAACACGGAGGCAATTGTTCTTTCACTTACTGCTAATGGTGCACATGAATGCCAAACAATGGAAAGCGAAAAAACCACGAATCAAAAAGCGAGGCGCATCATTGAATCTTCGTCGAAATGATTTTCAAGAAAAACGCAGTCCTCCAGCAATAATTCAACAAACTACCGATTGCCACTGCCATTTATTGCATATAATAAACACGAATTGCATAGTCTTGACGGAATTTATGCTTGCAAATTGCACACACACAAAGCCCCCTTAAAAAAAAACTCAAAAAAAGTGCAGACAAATGAACAGTGGCAAATACTGCACTTGCAACCGAAGAAAGGAAAAAACGAATTTTAGCCACAGAAAATGCAACACAAGTACAGTGAAGATAAAGGAGAAAGATTTGCAGCTCTTATTGATATTGTTGTCAGTAGTTGAATCAATATAACAATGTATATTTTGAAGTTCGAACGCCGAATGAAGCGTATGAGTGCCATGACCTTAGCCACTGCCATTTTTGGTGGCGATGACTGAAGTCACGGCATCGAATCGCATTTTGACTATCCCGACCATTGCGTGCCCATTCTCGGCAAGAATGCGAACAATTTCCTTTCCCGAACGCAACTTTTTTTTTCTAACGTTTTTCGTTCGGCTCACAGAGATTTTTGCATTGTTTAACTCTGCGATAACTTCATTTTGCTTCATTGTTTTGCATCAGTGCAGTTGGTGTGCTGGTACCATAGAGTCGTGCAACATAAATATTTAGACATTTAAATAAGAATAAACTGAAAAATGCTTGGATTGAATGTTTTCGGTGAATTATCCGCATGTCAGCAAATCCGGCTCAATGTAAATGTCCAAATACAGTAGAATAAACAAATTGAATTTTTCGCTGCACTTTTCGACGCACTTAATCTTTCGGAAGAGTTGTTTTTTTACGAGAAAAAAAAGAAATTCAAATTATACTGGTAGTTCTTTGTTTTGATTGTGGACACAACAACAATCCCATGTAAACATGATGCAAACCAAAAAAATCCATAAATTATATTCAATGAGCACACTAGTAAGAGCGACCAACATATAACTGCGTCAAATTGAATTCTGCACCATAAATCACTCAGTCAACAATCAAGTCGTCCGTATATGGCATATGGAATGTTTGATGAATGAATGACAACAACGACTGCAACACGACAATCGAGCACCAACAAATGATTAAATCATTTTTATTCTTCATTTGCGCGGCACCGAAGCGCACTTCAATATCCATTCAATGTGCCAAAGAACACGAAGAGAGGTGGAAAGAGAGGAAGAGAGAGAGATAAACAAATAAATACTTTCATGTTTTCCTGTTGTTCGGCATTCGTATTGGACACAAAAATCACATTTGATCAGCGCTCAACTTGTCCGGTTGCAATCGAACAAGAATGTCAATGGGAAAAAATAACATTTATGCCATTTCATTGACCAATCATTTATTTTGTGGTGAAATTTATGCCACCGAATGAACATGTGTACGTATCCAACAACATTCAATTGTACACAGAGTATGTTTATCGCTTATTTTCATCGCCATTTTTGTAGGTAGATTGAAATCACCGATAGAAATTGATTTTAAAACTGATTTCACAATTGTATAGACAGTAAGCAATGCTTAGCTTAGCACGCATTGATTTCGATAAATTTTAACTATTGAAATTGTTGAAAAACCACTGCCAACAAATTGAAATGGTTAATAATGGTCCATTATATCTATTTGAAAAGGCATTTTATCTTTTTTTCCTCTTCAAAAATGAAACTCATTGAGGCTAACAAATGTTTTACGGAAAAAGTGAAGGTTTACCTGTTTTGTTACCTTCATTATTTCACTTTTCAACACGAATGTACGAATTATTTCTGTAAAAAAAGGAACCGGGCGCCGTTTGATTGTTTGAATTTCCACAAAAGCCGTAATTGACCGTTTTTTCTTAACCCTCATGCCTCATCGAGTAATTGAAGTAAAACATTTCTAATAAAATCTATTATTATGAATGTCGATTCTCAAACTTCTTAATTTAGTGCTTACAAAAGGCGGAAACAAAATTAGTAGAAGCAAAACGTAAGAATTTATGGCAGCACCTTAAAACCGGGCAAAAGAGAGCCATTGGACCCATAAAATATTAACGATCGTTTGAAAATGTTGAAATGTGTACTGAACTTCCATAAATTCACACATCGAGGTATAAATTAGCGGTTATTCTATTTCTCGGCTCGCACACACTCCTCGACATGTCAAATGGAACTCGTGCGCACCGGGTATATAACCATATACAGAAAATGATGAACGTTGTGTGTTGTTGTTGTTTTTTTCGCCGTAGCTCTAAAAATTCATAAGTTTTAATAGCACAAAATCTTCGAGACCAACAAAGAATAATACATACACTATATTATGCATTCAGATTCGTGATGTTTATTTAAGCTAGTTATTAGAACGAGAATGCAACGCGAAGATTGGAATGGCGCAGTGCATCAAAAAGACCGAGAGAGCCAAACGTTAGACGCTTTTATGAATTTATTTTTGTTCACTGTGTTCGTATGCACTTTTATTATCTTCTTCATTTATTTATATGTGTAATTTTAATTTAGCATTACGCGAGAAACTGTCCGACTAAGCACTAAAAATGGCGCAGAGAAGTCGAATCCATTCGGGATCGTTTCGAAAATATGGAATGGATGCGAAAAGATGTATTTGCATCGGCTTCCATTAAATTTTGATCTATGATCGCATTTTTTTTGCTGCAGCAGATGTTAGTTGCTGCAGTCGATGCGAAGCAATGTATATTTGATTAAAGTATCGTGATGGTGATTCATATTGATAACTGGATGCAGTCGTCTTTTGATGTTCAGTTTCTATTTTGGAGCCGATGTGTTTATTTACCTCAGCCTTAGTTCGTTTGTCGATGTTTTTTTATTTAAATTATGTTTTATTTCATCGCATCATAAAAATCCAGTGTGCAATTGAAAATAGCTGGAATAGATATAAATAAAAATGGATGAAAAGGGCACATCACAAAAGAATTATGCACATTTGCAATGGAACAAAGCTGTGTGCTCAATGTGCCACACCAATCGCTTTTATGGAAATGTGTGAATTTGTGAATATTCACATTATGAGAACCATCTCAATTGCTTTGATCTTTACGCCTCTATCGGCTATTCGTCTATATGGTTCACACATTAATCTAGCTTAGGCTTCATGTTTATTTTAGCACCTATGCTATCGCATTGGACTTTCTTTGTTGTTGATTTTATGGGAAATTCTCTTAACAAATGTTTTTAAAACGAATTGATTTTGCCAAATTCCACACAGCTCAGGAGGTGAGACGGAGCTTTAGAAATAAAAACAATACTTAGTAGTTCAATGATTCGTGTGAAAACAACAAGGGCTCGCTTTTTATATTGTCTGTTTGAAATAAATAGAATACACAGGCGATTGTGTAGCAATAAATGTAAGCTTTGTGTGTTTAATAAGCGAAAATATTATTGCACTCCAAGTGAGTTATGAAGGGAACGAAATTCACATTTCAATTACTCTCAATAAACCAATAAAGGTATAAAACTTCGAAACAAATGATTGCCATTGTTTATATAAGTGATGATATTGTAAATGTTTACTCAAATAACATCGTGGTATTTGTATTCAATTTTAATAGGACGATTACCCAAACTTTGTCAATATTTTGCGAAAATAAAACATTTGGTAAAAACAATGAACGCCATTCCCTAACTATTTATCGCAAGGACTCGTTTTTCGATCAATTTACATTAATAATTCGGGAATAACAACTAAACATCAGTTCTATATAAATATTTATTGAAATCGTTAATCTATTGAAATCATTGATCCTTTCTGATAAACGATTTTCCGACCAAGTATCCCATACCAGTTCCGAAAGCCGCTCCAGGTGGTCCGCCGATAAATGCACCAGCTATTCCTGTTACAGCTGCGGTTGCCTTTGGAATCCATGTGTGTATATAAATGCTAGATCTCATAATTGCCATATTTGTGAAAATGTCTTCACAAATGTTTTCAATTTGTGTCCGTTTAGCGCCTTCGGTAGTTCTATTCGGAAAAATAAAATTATTTAACGAATGAAATCAATAAGCAAAACAAAATATCATACGAAATGTATATATCTGAAAGTATGTTAGCTTCTATCACAAACTGCGCAATATCTCTGCAAAATAAGTGAAAATTGTAAAAATACCCGGGAGCTATTTCTTTTTTCTGTTGTTTACTTGTTATATAAACCGATATCGTAAATACCGTTTGGTATTTTTTTCCCAACGTTATTATGTCTTTTCTCAAAAGTGTCGATTACCCGATTTACACATTGAATGCAGTTCAAAATGCTAAATGAATAAATAGATGAATAAATGTTCATAATAATAAATTCACGAAGTCTTCTATTCACCCTCTGTCTACATTTGCGGTTCGCAAGGATTTCTGTCTGACCAGTTTAACTTTGGCCAGATCTCGAATTCTATCTTCCTTATAAGTGCATCTATAGAGTCGCAAAATGTATTGTATTACATGAAAAATGTTGTAGAATTGAAGATGAATATACCTTTCCATCCAAGCACTATGACCCAATTCAATTTTGGAAGTTTTAACAACACTTTCATCAACTTGAACATTCGCTATGAAAACCATTCCACTTTTTGAGTGTTCTGCAAATAGATTTAAAAAAATCATTTTATGATGAAAAATTAATTACGTTTTGAAATAATAGAAATTATTTTTTGAAATTAACCTATCATGATAACTGAAGCCTATAAAAATGAAGAAAAAATGAAGAAAAAATGTTATAAATGTTCAGACACAAAATGGAAAAGTTTTCACTTGCCAAAAGTCCAAATAGAAAAGTCAGAGTAATTAAGAGTTTCATTTTCTTTCTAACTAAAATGAGAACAATAACAAAAAAAATGAATCGTTATTTTCACACAGTAAAATTCAAATGGAACACATTCAAGAAGTTCTCGCTTATATATTCTTTTTTGGTATTATTTTGCCATCTTTTGTGACTAATATGACGCAAAATTATATTGTTGATAAATTATAAACTTTGAATTTTTCATCGACTATGAATGTGACGCGCTTTTTTCAATTTTATTTTTTGTCAACTACGTTTTTTGTAATAAATTATAATTTATAATTTCATTTTCTGTGTTATTTAAACGTAAATTTGTTGATCCACACCGAATTATATACACGTTTCAAATGACGTACGCCACATGTTTTTCGACGATCTTTAGTCTGAATAAATTAAATTAATTATGATGCAACATTTGTATTATGGCACTCATTTGCATCAATTGAATTATCATATTCATTTTTTGTTATTGCTTAAAAGTTATAAGCATAATTCTCAGTCATAAAAGTCAGTCTGGTACAATTTTTTTTATTCATTTAAATATTTTATGATAGACAGAAGTTGATCTCTAATAAATGCACCAATATACTGAATAGGTACTCCATTAAAAATAGCTACCTTTTAAAATCGTAGATTGAGCAAGAGATTAATTGCAAGAATGACTTCAACGTTGGTCGAAAGCAACCAAGCGGAACAAAATGTGTTTCAGTATTTGTTACTGTTTTTTGCATCCTTTTTGTGATGTTGACATAATCATTGTTTGTCAAATTTAATGTTGTTTCTTTTATTTTATCATCATCGTTAATTTGCACAAGAATCGCATTGCATTGAAATTGAATAGTTATATATTTCTTCTGATGAATGATCTTCCGGCGAGATAACCGACACCACTTCCGATTGCGGCTCCCGGAACACCTCCGACGACTGCTCCACCCACTGCAGCCACAAGCGATGTTGCCTTTTTTATCCATTTGTGCATGTAAATGCTGGTTCTCATAATGGCCAAATTCGTGAAAATGTCATCGCAAATGTTTTCAATTTGTGTCCGTTTATCGGCTTCGGTAGTTCTATCGACGAAAATAATATATTAATATTTCCCGATTCATGATAAATTGATGATACTTACGAAGTATATAAGTTTGAAAATTTCTCAGCTTGTTCTTCAAGTAGCGCTTTATCTCTGCAATAAAAATACAAGAAATGTGTGCAAATCCAAACGTACGTCCAACTTCCTTGAACTTACTTTCTGAAACATTCCTTGTCATAAGTTACTTCGTTCTTTTCTAGCGCTTCGTTGTGACTCTTTTCATAACTGGCAACGATTGCGTTTATGTCAGCAGCACTTTTCATAATTCTTAAATAAATAAATCCAAATAAAAATAAATACGGAATGAAATAATCATATTAAAGAACTTTCGCCTCACTTATAATCAACGTTGCCACTTCGCATGGACTTCTGTCTGACCATTTTAACTTTTTTTATGTCTGGAAGACCATCTTTTTTGTACGTACATCTTTAAAGAAAGAATTCAAAAGTATATTTTATCCAGCTAAAATCATGTGACAGGATCGAAAATACCTTGCTTTCCAATCGGCTTCATTCAATATATTTTTGCTTTCTTTAAATTCACTATAACCAACATCAACATTTGCTATATAAATCAGTCTACTTTTTGAAGCTGCCATATGCATAGCCTCTGTAAAAACGACATTTTATTTAAATGAAAAACCAATTCGTTTGCTCGACATATAAGCTTTAAATTACCTATCAAAGTAACCGAAGCCTATAAAAATGAGAAGAGAGATATTTCAATAAATGTTGATTTACAAACAAAGGATTTCACTTACCAAAAGTATGAACAAACTAGTTATTTTCAGCTTCATTTTTACTTTCCTTTTATGAAAAAACAAAACAACAAAGTATCAATGGCGAAAACAGTTCGTTAATTTCACAAAGGAAAATTTGAATTAAGCACATGTTTGGCAGGCTTAGCCTCTTATATATTCTTTTTTGTCGTTGTTTTTATTATTTTGACGCTTTTTGACTGTCTATATTCAACGAATTATACGTAAGAAAGTAACACGCTTTATAGAAAAAAATTGCTTAGAGAAAAAATTGCAACAGAGCTTCATGCATTCAAGTTTTTATAAATTATAATTTTTGAATTGATCACATTGAGCGAATATCATTGTCTAGCTAAGCTCCGAATATAATTAATTTTGTTCTCAAATAACATCTTTTAATTCGCATACGCTCCACTTGAATCATCATCAAATTGAGAGAGTTTCTTAACGTCAGAAACTGCACAAATAACTTTATAAGCAATTCTTCATTTCAATTCTAATCGATTCTATAAAAACTTAAAGCAGTCATATTTATCAATACACGATGGAAAACTTCTGATTCGAATGGGAGTGTATGTAAGTGTGAATGAACTCATTCGCGTCATGTGTATTCAAACATGTTGAATGTAAAAGTTTTCTTCGATAATGGAATAAACTTTTGTTGAAAAGTCGGTATATCACATACAAATTATAATCGATTAAAAGATGATTTCATGGTAATTTCAAATATTCTTGAACCGCAATAAGTCAAACACTGTAAATTGTGTGCCAATGACTTTTTGATTGAATTTTGTGGTTACAAATACTGGAGAATTCGCATAACGCGCACAAGAGTTCATATATCATTCTACTGCGATGCATTGATCGATCGTTAAGTGTTCATAATTTGCTAACAACAAAAATCGTTGTTTTAATAGACAAAAATTAAAATGATCAATACCAATCAACTCTCCCAAAAGGCTTGATTTCAACCAGTTTGCTACCGAAACAATTCAGTTTCAAACGAATACCGCAAGTGCATAGAACAGTGACGTAATTAGCCCCATGTATGTTGGAAAGCGTGTAAAAATTATGCAAATGAATCAAAAGTAACGCTTTTAGTAGCAATTTGTGTATACGATATATATGTTTTTTTATCTCGTTTTTAAATCGAAACGAACGACACACAGTGCTTAGTGTATTTACGTCATTTACCGGTACACCATATTTAAATATTCAATACAACAAATTGCAACGATTTTATAACACACTGAACAAACATTTGCATATGACTTTATCCCATATGTAAAGTCATGCTGTTGTCGTGTTGAACCAAAGCCGCACTTTAGAAGCTACAAGTGCATTTTAATTGACTTTATATATTTTAAATGCCACGAAAAAAAAACTGCACCAACTTCAAAAACGTTTCGCACACTGACATTGTTACGTTTTTTCTTCTTCTGCTATTTAGCGTGCATCGTTGTTTTGCCGCAATCGAGCGTTTGTTTCAACATGCATTAATGAACACATGTGGCACGCGCTCAACTGTGCACTCAATCGTTTCGTAGGCTAAATTCTCTAGGCGACGATCTATCTCTTGATATGTGTTTTTTGGTGTTTTGCATAAATTATGGCGTTTTCTATTTAGATACAGCGATTTCTATGGAAAAAGTTTATACACATTGTAGACGCTCAATGTGACACTTTCTCCATTCTCACCAGTTTTGTTACGCTCTGGCGCTTTGTCTATATTTATTTGTGTGTGCTATTGAATACATAATTCAAGTTCAGCGTTTTGCTGGAAATTAATTCAAAATTCATTTGAAAATTGAATTAAACGAGGCCAATAGCCCTGCAAATGTGACGTTTTTGGATATACAAATCTGGGCCAATTGAATCCATTTGAATTTTTTTTTTTTGGAAGTTTGAATATCAAGTTTCGAAGTTCGTTTCGAAGCGGCTGATGAGAAAATCTTTTCGAATTGTGGCTTGAAAAACTTAAATATCAAACAGTCTACATTTCGACATTCAAATTCCATCGAATATTCAAAATTGAAATCAATTTTTCAAACGTCATTTCTTGCGCCGTAAAATTTGCGAACCAAAAAAAGAGTCGTGCGATTCGTGCACGATCCGGGAACAAGATATAATGCCAATGCCATCACACATAAACCAACACTAAAATGGTGCTAAACACCGAAAAAAGCGATACGAACGAAACGCGTATGAAATTTTGAACAATACATACACGTTGTGTCGATGCAATCGATTCATGTTTCGAACCAACCAAATGTAAACAAACGTTTGGCTCGCTTTTTTTTCACTATCTGAAACAATCATCATTTCATTTACTTCGGCTACGTCGTTTGAATACACAATTATATTCAATTACAATTCTTGACTTTGAATTGGATTCGATATATTTTGGTTTTTGCCTTGGTATTGATTCGTTTTTTTCTTTGTCGTTTGTTTATTTCGTTCGTAAACTTCCGCTGTGCGCGATATCGATTTATTGTTTTCGATTTTTCATTCACATGAACTGCACAGACAACATCATCGAGAGATAGACAGAAAGAAAAAAACACAACAATTGTTGCTGTTGCAAGCGTTCGTACAATGCAAATTTATGTTGTGTATTTCACGACGTTCAAAATTCAATTTACGAATGACACAAATGAACGAAACGCGATGATCACATGTCGAAAAAAAATAAGCGGCTGATTTTCAAACTGGTTTTTATTTTATCCCAGCTCATATTATCGCGTTTGTCGTGATAGCAAATAGCGATTATTAAACCACTTTTTTTCAATCGGTATTATATTCGGCGCAAATCGTCGATATATTTGCATTGATGATGTGTTTGGGCTAAATATATGCATGCACACCGCCACAATGTGGGACACGTCAAAAGAAAGAGAACAACCGCGTGAAAAATACACACTGTCAGAAAGAAATGAAATCGTCGAAGAGAGTAAGAGGAATAAAATTGCAGAATGCAGAGAGAAATATTTATGGCCAATGTGCAAATAAAAGTGCTCTAATGAGCAGAATGTTGTAAAATCAAATGAAACGATAATGAAATCAACTGAATGAATGCTAACGCTCATTTTTATGAACCAATAAAACATGTTTTAAAGACTTGAAAATTTAAGTAAGTTGGTAGATGATCGTCGTATAAAGACCGCTTTAAATTATGCCAAAAGTGAAGTTGAATTGAATTGCGGGCAATTGATCTAATCAACGACTACATGGTTGTCGCAATTCACAGCCACCTCATTCGCAAATAATATTTAGACACTTTTTTTTCTGTCCCCACTCTCCCTCTCCCATTTGTATGCCATTGAAAACAAATTGACTTTGAGTTGGTAATAAATTTCAATTAAAGAACCAACAATTTAGTTTCGGAATTCCATTTAACCAATTTGATTAATATGTTTGTAATTATTTATCTATTTTCAGGTGAGTAAATGGTTATGCCATTCAAGATGATTTACGATTTTGGCCAGCCCAACTGAATCGTATCATTTATAATAGCCCCATGGACACATAGTGATAAGTACAAGAATCTAAACATAATTACTACCTTTGGATAAAGTACACGGCACATTTCGAAAAAGAAATCCCTTTTCAATTAAAAGTTCGACTGTATGTTACGCATGTCATCGAATTTGAATGGATCAGACGATTTAACACTTCGCCACACTCCAAATCGGAATTCATTTGCAATCGCATTTATATTGAATTAGCCGACTGTGTGTGAATGGTTCGCATCATAAAATATAATATGGTTGGTCCATGAACTCAAACCGTATTATTTATAGCCGATAACATAAACATTCAATTTCATCGGTTAATCGCGCAATATTTACCGTCCAAGCTGCCCATTTCGAGTGCGCGAGTTCATTTCAATCAATTTAAAAATAGTTTCAGAATTTACTCGGCACGCGGCTACAAGATTTTAGATTTCGTTCGTTTTTTTCTCACTCATACAATTCAATGTAGTATAATGATTTCAATCGAGGAAAAAAATTTAATATGCAAACCGCGCCCGACTGTAATTGCTTTAACATGAGTGCGAATAGATGCATATCAAATGCTCCAACAACACAATTTCAATCGATGTAATTGTTAAATGTGCAAAAAAGCGCATTTTAATTCAACCAATGCTGTTGGTACTACAATGGTAGTGACGAAAAAAAAAACGAACCGACGACCGAAATGAGAAAATGACCCGAAATGTCGAAACAAACGTGGAATGCAGTGACATGATGTTACTGTACAAACATAAAAACTTTGTCTAAGAAATTCATTTGCATATTGTTTTGCATAATATAAGCACAAAGAATTTTTCGCAATTTGTCTCACACTCGCCGTATAGAAGATGGGCGATGGCAACGGTAAAAAAATGCTGTGCATTTTAAACGACCATAGAACTAATCGAAAAGAGCCACATTGTTTATGCAACAAAGTTTAAGAAAGAAAACACGAAACCCTCAACAATTTATAATAGCAGAAAAACCGCAAACGTCGGCTAATTTCTTGAAGGTATACGCACCATAAATACCTTTTTGAATGCTGATGCTACTGTTTAAAAGTGATTGTTTTGCTTTGACCGTTTTGGTTTTTGTTTGTATCTCAAGAATCATTCGCAAACAATTATACACAAACTCAAGAAACACATATATATTCTTTGGGCTAACTGTTTTGCCAATGGATTGCTTTCAAGTTTTCGATGAGCTTGCGAAATATGCAAGCATCATGCAAACATAACAGTGACTCACATACACTGACTCACTGAGCCAACACACACTGAATGAATGAAAAATACTATGAAAACAACCGACGACAACGAAAACAATTATTATTTATTATTGCGCTCATTGCGTTAAAAGTCAAACATATTTGTTATTGTTTTCGTTTTATGGTTTGCTTATGTTCGCCATTTTCTACATGTTCCAAAAAAAGAGAAGAAATAATACTGCCATAACGCCATTCGTATGGCAATGTGGCGATGAGAGTATAATCCAAATGCATTTGATTGTTGCTTGGCCACTCACATTTTTTTTTTTTTTTTGGTTACCGTCGTCGTTGTCGTCTTCTTTTTCTCTACGTTCATTTATGCTCGAGCCATTTTGGTTC